TTGCATGCATTTTAGTAGGAATAGGTTTCGAAAGCAACCTATAAATTATATTTTGAACGTTGATTTAAATTCGGGACACATTTTTATCTTTTACTATGCCTTCATACTAAATCGTTAGATGGCTTTAACGTATGTTTTTATAGAAAAAATAGCCAAACTTAAAGGTCTTACATAAATTTTCTATGTAGCTTGAGTTTATTTCACATATAGCACTAAGAAAGAAGTTATAAAAGTAAAACACAATAAAAAGTAAAGTTATATATCTCCTAATTGGATATTTAAAACCTGTTCATATATTATATCATCAAATTTCATATCAATAATCAACAATCATTTTAATCTTTATAATAAGTCAAAAATTGAGTTTTAAAAGTTTTTCTTTTTCGTTCGAAATTGTTTTGGCGTAGAATTTTCCATCATTAGTAACGATCATTTCGTGGAATGTTGCTGTACCTTTTACTGTTTTGAGCTTTGGTATATTCTTTTTTAAATTCGTAATATCTGTTGTATCACATAAATATAATTTAATCTCTCTATTGTTTTTTGCACTATTGATGAGATCTAATGCATTTTCAAATGCATTATCAGGATTGAACGCCACAATCTCATCAAATATACGTTTTATTGTGGCTCATACGGCATCAGCAACACCTTTACCGTGTCCCGATTCTAGGAAAATCCATTTAATATCAATATTATAATCAATTGCAAATCTTTTCATCATAAATATCGTCGTCTTGTTTCGATATTGAGAAACTGGAGAATCGGATATAAAATTGATTGTGTTGATATTATTTTCATCAATTAATTCGTTCAGCAAATCTTGGATAGCAGTCCACGCTGCTTCAGCCATATGGCACGTATCATCGCTAATACTAGCAAAACTAAACGAATTATTCTTCAACCATATAAAACCTGATTGAATAGCAACATGGCGTTCATAATAATACGCTCCTAATAATGAGAAAAAATGATCAAATATTCTGTTAATGAACTAGAGAATGACATCAATGGAAAGTTGTTCAATGTCGAATACCTTTTTCTTCCCATGCTTGTTTCAAGTTATAATTTTCGGACCAGTCTAATTGGATTGTTGCTACTTGATCATCTTCTTTCGTTTGTTCTTTAGCTGCTTTAGCAGCAAGTGAAAAAAGGATGACTTACATCAATTTCCGATACAAACTTCTTTACAAACTCTTTCATCGATATAGTCATTGTAACTTTTGTAGAAATCAGAGCTATACAGTTATCTTTCTTTTCTTTTGCCATTCACAAAAGGTAACAAAAAATCTTCTTGATTTAATTTAGCTAAATTATCTTTAAATTCATTTATTTTTTTTTCATCTTTTGCTAGATCATATAAATCAATAGGTGTGGAATCTATTATAGATTTTATACAAGAATATTTGTGCTTCACTTGATGAAGTTTTTCATATTTGAGTTGAGGATTTAGACAAGTTATACATAAACATGTCCCCCAATTATCATGATCGGTTTTTGAATATAAGATGGAACATAACGTGTGAATGTAACGTAGTCTATATCAACGTAGTCTATAATTTCAGTTTGAAGTGATGATTGAAATTTCTGTTCGATTTTCGAATCGATTTTCTGTTTAGCAAAGAAAGTTGAAGCTTTTCCTTGAATGATATGCATGAAATTCTGAAGCGTAGTTCGAAATACTAGAAATCAGTATTTCGGAGGGTTTTTTGTTACCCCTATACGAAATGTATTTCGGTTTTGCAGAGCGCAGAAACTCCTTCAAATACGGTTAGGCGTATTTTGAAATACTATAGGAGATTTTTGAAATTAACTACAAAACCTACAATATACGTACAAAAAACCCTTATCCGTTTTTGCATTTACTGTTAAAGCAGTGTTTTCAAAAGCGGAAGGGGTTTTTGCACTCTAAATGTAAAACGGAAATGCGTTTGGTATAGTTGCAAATGCAAAAACCCCTTTCTGTTTTGCACTATACGTTTTTTTTACAGGGTAGTCAGTGGCCCAAGAAACTTGTTTCTTGATTGATCGGAATAGAGCATGTATTGTTGAAAAACACATTTAACGAGTTGTTACTAGTAAAATACAAGATAAATTCCTAGATAATTCTATATAGAAGTTCACAGCATGTGACAGATTTCCCAGTGTAAGCTAATATAGGATTCAGATGATAGAATCCTATAAGAAGTACCACATTACCCTAATAGAAATCACATGCGTTCCTATGATAAGATTAGGTAGGATTTCATACGGTCTAAGGCGATTTTCTGTTCTTCGTAGGCTTCCGACCGATGCAGGGTTACTCACTCAGTTCACTTACAGGCAGACGCTTTAATTGAGGTAAATAAAAGTTCGTATGTTAACTTATTTTATGAATTCTTTTAAACCAATTGTACAACCTGTCTTGCCGAATTCTTATCGGAATCTTATAAGATTCTTATATCCCTTCGTATAAGAATCTTATCAATATCTTACGCATTTCCATCGACTGCTTTATATAAAATTCCTATAAGATTTCTATAAGATCCTTATAGAATTGCCGTAAGTTCGGTCGCCTAGGGTTATTTCAGTGCCGAAAAGGAGCATTCCCTGACCTCAAGTGAAGGTATTTAAAAAGATGTGCAGGTCAACTCTGAATAATTCACCATCGAATATTGGGGAAATTCACGAGAATGAAATAAATTGCATCAGAAGTATTTAACGAGTTGTTTCCGTATTCCAAGTCGCTTAATCGAACGAATTCAAACGACACGATTCGTGTCGTGTCACACGAAGGAAAGTAAGAAAACATTTTGTGAAAGCGATACATTATGAAAAAAAATAAATGGATCATAATGTAAAACAAAAGTTAATGTTGAAAATTTCGCCGGTTTTTTTCAGCAAACTCTCAGGACAGCTCATAAAACATAATCGAAGACGGAAAAGGTGAATGTGAGCTGAGCATTGGCTTAAGGTTTTCCAGAAACCTTCTGAAAAACCTCAGAGCATCAGTATTCTGCTGGACCACTTTTTTGGCGTGGTCAACAACATATGACACCT